TTAAGTACAGAAAGGAAAACGCTAGATCATTCTGACTAAAAAATCTATTTTATATTAAAAAAATCATCAGTACCCCTCTTGATAATTTATTTCTCTAGATATCATCCTTTGCTTTCATCACTATTAACCAACACGGTAAAGTTCTGCATTCAGTTGACTTGTTGCTTTGAATCCTTACACTTAACTTATCAAATTATTTTCTGAAAAAATAATTGATTTAAAAACTGACAATACTAAAGGAAGATTGATTGAATATTTTTATTAGGAACTCATTATCTTTGATATGTCTATTCTAACATATTATAAAATATGCCCCCAAACCAAAAAAAAAGTTTATTTTAAACACAAATTTGCAATTTGTTTTCTTACTTTTTTTGGGGGGAGGGGGCATACGAGACAAACGTAACAGTCAAAATAATAAGCAATATTGCAAATATGAAATTTACCATATTTTCTAATTATTCACTGAGCTTGCTAGTTTTTAGTTGTCTATAAAAAGTACAGTGTGTAAGTGGATCCCCCTTTTTTTTATCACGAGATAGCAAATTTCTGGTATGTCAGATGTATAAGTCAACAACTGAAAAAACTAAATACTAAAATTTCTTAAATTAAAAACATCAAAAACAAGTATTAAACCTGCAAAATTTTCTCAATCCAAAAACAATTCATATTGTTTTCTCCGCATATGCATTTGCTTACAAATAAAGATGCTAAGAGGTGCCCCTTCAAATAAAATTAATCATATATAGCATGTTAAAAAAAGTTTTTGAAAGGGGTAAATTGGTACAAAGTTATTCATATTTATCTCATTTCTTATAATGCATTGACATTTCAGGATTAATGAATGTCCAACATATTTACTTGAGTCGACCCTGCGATTTTTATAAAACTTTGGGTGATTATTTAGGGGACTTCTACACCGCTATATACAGTATATATATATAATCTAATCTTTAATGGGAAAAAAAAATCTAATCTTAAAAATATAGTACGAAAACCTTGAAATTCCGTCATTTGTATTGTTCTACAATTGATGAGTAAAACTCATATCTGGTTTGATAATTTGTTAATAAAAATTAAAGAATGTAACTATCTTACTTCCAATATTTTTAAGTTCAAAACGCTAGTCCGAGCATTTTGTAAACATCATAAAAAGAAATTTCATCAAGAAATAAAAGAAATTTCCATTGAAATCTAACTACTCCATATTGTTTTTTTTTNGGTTTTTTTTTTTTTTTTTTTAATTCCTATTATTATTATTCATTACTTTTCTCATTGAATAACAAAAATAAATTTATTATTAGTCTTTCATTAGAAATTTTAAAATAATAGATATTTGCAATTAATGAACAATATATCTCCATAAAGTCAACTATTTTCCATTATTAGAATAAAAAATTAAGAAAGAGTTTTTAATTAAAAAATAATTGAAAGCTGTTAAATGATTTGTGCAGTTTTGACCAATTTTAAAGCTACATGTAAAATATTTCTTTCAGAATAACCAAGCATAATTATGTATGACTCATATTGTCATATTTCCAGAGTATTTTTTTCGTTTCATATGTATCAGTTCTTATTAATGGAAGGGGAAAAAAATTTTCTATTGCTTCCTCATTTCACTTTCAAAATATAATCTAGTAAATGAAGTCAGTCTTTTAAATTTTGTAATTCTATTTCTATGGTACATAAAAAATAGCAATAGTACTCATTTTTTGAAACAGAATTTCATGTGCAATTTATTGAGACGGTTAACACTACTGTTTCTATTTTATTTATTTTTTTGTATTTTTAAATAAAAATAAATATTCTTTTTAAAATTTTACACCAAAATATATTTTTTCTATAAGATTTAATTATATTATTAAAAAATTTAAATTTTTTTAATGTATTTTTACTATAATTACGTAGAAAATCTACGTAAGTTCATTGATAGCACAATAAGCTCATGCTAGCACAATATCTTTTAAGTAGTAACATTGCTAGCAAGAAATATCATATAGTATTTATTTTTACATTAAAAAGCATGTTTTGAACTTTTCTTCCATGTTTTGAATTTTTGCATAACTGTGTATTATGAGCAAAGCATGTTTTGAATCTTTTATTTATGGTGGGATCAAACTAATCTAGCCAATTTTCATCAAATTTTATTTCAATTTTATCAAATTTTGATGCCATTAACAGTGTATGATGACATTACAGCCGTAAGTAAGTTTTATTACTTTATTTTATTTTTTATTGAAAAATAAATATGTGTATCTTTAAAAAGTAGCGACTTATTAAACTGAAACTACCTTTAAAAATGCTTTGATAAATATCTATTTTTAAAAAAAATTTGGGGAGGAGGGCTTATTTCTTTGCAATGCATAATGAGTCTAATTTATTGCATACATGAGTTTTATCGAATACTCATTCTTCGCGCATGTATATATATATA